GTCGGTTTAGCCACTTATAGCTTCGCAGGTAGCAGCTGGTGATTGGAGGAGAAGTCTTTCGAGCACAGGAGAGGATGTCTCAAAGATGTCTTGAAAATGACAAGTGAGCAGAATAAGCCATTTGATGCACGAGATTTGTCAGAGTTAAGATTTCGATGAGATCGATCAATACTGTTGTGTTGATCGATGTATACCCGATGGAAGCTTAGTTGGATCTTATCCTCTTGGCAGGGTCGGGTCGTCCCGTGTGTTGCCTTTATGATTTATCGACCAGACAGTCGAGCGAGCTTCTGGCCGAGTAAGTAGTCGGGTCAATTATTTGAAGAGTCGACTCGACCATGAGGCAGATTGACTCTTGAGAAGTCGCTACAATTTATAAGGGGTCGACTGATCCCGTAGTTCGTGTCGGTAAGAGGTGACTTTGTCTTCTCTCGGCGGGTTAATAGACTCACTTTTTGCTGGGCCTTTGGGCCGCTAAGTTGGTTTGAACCATAGCTCTTTTGGACCTATGAAGACGATCTTTTGATATCTTCATTTTTAGATGGTGAATTACCATAACACTAGGTGGAAAGGAGTATGTAAGTATTTTCTTGCATGAAGATGTTTTAAACTGATAATAAGAACTTTATGTGCATGATTTAGGCTCCACAGCATAAAGCAAAGGACTCTTACATTGATGATTCTCATGTACTTGCCCTAGTTATTGCATTAGGCCACTAAAGGAATGTGCATGATTTAGGCTCTACAGCATAAAGCAAAGGACTCTTATATTGATAATTCTCATGTACTTGCCCTAGTTATTGCATCAGGCCACTAAAGGATAAATTCTTATATTTACCGAGAGTTAATTTTGTGCATATGCTATGCTTTAGAAGGAAGTTAATTGTCTTTGTCATTTGTAGTGGGTGAACTTGCCTTTCAATATGATTCGAAAATAATGCCTTTCAATAATATACAGCCCCTTTGGTGATTTAAAATGGGAATGGTTTATGGAATTATTGGTTGCCGTCATTGGTGATTAATAAGTTATTTTTCCTATTGTTTCATGCTAAATCGATATTTTTGGTGATGTTTGGGATGTTAAATCACCAAAGGGGCTGAATAGAATCAAAATCAAAACCACGGGGGCTCAATAGAGTCAAAAAAAGTATGAGGGCTTAATAGATTCGCAGAGCAAACCACATGAGCTTAATAGAGTCGAAAAAAAGTATGAGGGCTTAATAGATTTGTAGATGAAACCACGGGAGCTTATCTGAGTTTGAGATCCCTACCAATTTAAAACTTAATCCCCTCTCGGTAGGTTCTTTATTTTTAGTTCTATACAAGAAATCCACTGAGGTAACTTGATTTTATATACATAATAAGAATATGAGGCTTTGCTACATGGACCCAAAATATGGGACCAATAGAGGGGACAAGTGATGTGTCTCCCTCCTATTGGATAATGAGTTGGTCATCATTAATGATGGCCAACTCATTATCCAATAGGTGGGAGACACCTCACTTGTCCCCTCTATTGGTCCCATATTTTGGGTCCTTAACGAATTTTTCATAAGAATATAACTAAAGAATTGCAAGTTTAAAGTACGTAATCAATATTTGGAGGGAATCTCTAATTTGATATAGCTAAATTTTTTTGAACAACGCGAACTTGAAGTAGGACCTACACAATCTTCGAAACAGAATGCATTTAAGTAATGGATCCAGACCGGATTTGGTGTTTCGGATTGGATCTTTGAACAAAAGGGGTTAGCGAGATAAGCGGTGGCCTAAAGAACTGCCTTTCAAATATTAAAAAATTGAGCTTTGCTACAGGGACCCAAAATATGGGACCAATAAAGGAGACAAGTGAGGTGTCCCCCATCTATTGGATAATGGCCATCATTAATGATAGTCAACTCATTATCCTATAGGAAGAGGACACCTCACTTGTCCCCTCTATTGGTCACATATTTTGGGTCCTTAAAGAATTTTTCTAAAAAATTAAGGTACTGATACTAAAGAAACCAAAAAGATAATCAATAAGCAAGAAATCAACATAAACAATCCATAAGGACAATCAATAATACTTTTAAGTAACTAGATTGAACTAAAAGGGCCTACAATAAAAAGTAAATGCAAACAATTAATCAGAAGAAAATATTAATGCTTGCTTCCCCGGTCTTACCATTGTAATTGTAATTAACATAATAGAGAAAAATGTTTAAGTGTTTAATATTCTCTCGACTTATCTCACAAACATCACCCCTTATTTCCACCATCTTCACCGTCGGGTCCTCAAACCCCACGGTACTACAGATAACCATCGCCTCATCATTGCAAATAATCATATCCACCCATGTTAGATTGTTATCTTCACCTTTCAATTTCAATATCTTACAAAAAAAACCCTTAAAGGATGAACCACAATTTTCACTTGACAACTAAGGTTGTTAGGGAGTTTATTTTTTTTGTTGGGGGAGGGAGGGTGCGGGCGCTAAAAGTTGAAGGGGTCTCTTATAACCCCTAAAATAAGGGGTTTTCTAATATTCCAAAAGTTATGGGCCATTGTCTAATCATTTCGAAAGTTAAGGGGGTTTTCCAAAATTTAGCGTTCTATTACGGACTGCATATCTTGTGGGGCCACTGAGAGGCGGTTAGTTTGACCAGCCAATATTCGTCAGGCCACAATGGCACTTGGGTCAGGCTTTTCCAATTAAATAATGTTAGAGACATACCACCCACCACAACCCCAACCACACTCCCCCCCCCTCTCATTGCTACAGTAAACCAAGCCCCACATGTGATTTTAAAAAATTTAAAATCTCATGTGGGGCCCGGTTTACTGTAGATCAAGGAACGCGGATTCTTTTTGTCCTTGTCTATATATATACACATGTTGTTAGGTAATAATAACCCATTTAATGTTTTGTCAGCTTACGTATAATTCTCTTATCGCTATTATATTAAAAGCTACTCATCATCATCTTCTTCTTCCTCTTCTTTCACATCTGAATCGGGACGTGGGTTAATGGATGAGATGGGTTACTAAAGCAAAATCTGCTCAATTAAAGGATATACCTTCTAATATTCTGAATAAATTAATGTTGGCATACAGTAATCATATTTCTATAAAATGTTGGAAATCATGCAGTAACCAAATATATATCCATCCTATAAAAAGATTGGATATCATCATTACATTTACCATTTATGGTTAAGCACTAAATGACATTTAATAGCACTAAATGGCATTTAATAGCACTAAATGGCACTGAATTGAATTAAGACCATTTTCTTTTAATTTGTTACTTTTAAGGAAAGCCCTATTCCATTTTGATCAATTGGCGAACGTGATCCCTTTTCCTTTTCTGGATATTTGATGAATTCTAAGCGAAATTCAATTGGAAGATATTCTTTTGACTTGCTAATATGGTAGTAAGCGGTATCCAATTGGAAGAAATTCAATTGAATTTGCTAAGTTAAAAGGCATGTCTTAGTTCTAGGAAATTATTTGGACACACTTAAATTGAAATATTCAGGCAAATAATTTCTTAGCTTAAATATACGATTTAATGACAAATTGAACTAAATACCATACTAATATTTCAGCAACGTGATTTAAAAAAATCCAGCAACCTGGACCATTTGTTAGAAATTCTAGACTGAAAACTGAGCATATCAAAAAAAGGAATCTTTAAAAAATAAAAAAATCATATACATTCACCCTGTAGTAAAAGATTCATGACCATGCACTAACCAAATACATACATACATGTCTGCCCTATAAAATATTGAAACCCACGAACTCTGTTTTTTTAAGCTACAGAATGGCGTTCTCAAAGTTTTATCATCTAGGGCTTGTTTTTTTTTGCCTTGTCATTTATCCAACTCTAGTATGCGCCTTCTCTCTCTCTTTTTTTTTTACTATCTTACTCTGAGCAGTTAGCATCCAATAAAAAAAAGTATCTGATTTCTTCACCATAACACTCTATTTTTTATGATGTTTTCCTCTAGTTATAAAACTGCTGTTATCGCATCAAATATATATATTATATACTATATATTTTATATATAGTTATATATATATATATATATATATATATAAGTGATTATGAAATATATATGAGAAAAATGGGTATATACTGTTACCAAGGATCCTTGTATGATGTGGACACATCTTGTCCATACATCACACCTTGAAATGGACCTCACCAACTCCAAGGTGTGATGTATGGACAATGTGTTCCACATCACTACCAAGGATCCTTGGCCCAAGTATACCCATATTCCCCCTCTCTCTCTCTCTTTCTCTCTCTCTCTCTCTCTATTATATATATATATATAAAATAAGAAAATGTTGTGATAAACTTCTGAATTTCTTTTTAATTAATGCAGAATGAGGCCTTTCTTAAAAAGGGCTTCGGAGAAAAAGTTTCGGAAAGAAATCCTCTTGTATTTGACCCTTCTCTTGGGGACCGTATTACTCACGTAAGATTTAGTCAATCACATTACATGAGGGTACAATATTTTGATTAGTGCTTCGTATTCTATTTTCATCGATTTTCATTTTTTTTACTGCGTGCATTTTTTTAGAAAGCAGAATATTCAAGCGGAGAAGGAAAATGGGGAAGCCAAGCGGAAATAATTGTCTACGGACTACCACAAGTTCAGAATGATGATATCACCGCGGCATTTATTTCAGTCGCTAGCGGGTCGAGTCCAGATGAAGACTTCAATTTATTAGTAGCCGGATGGCACGTAAGCGGCCGTACAATCTCTATCTACTACCTGCTAAATAATTTCACACAAAAATTTCAGAATCTTTAAGATTGGAATTGAAGAACAAATTTAAAATAACAATTGAATCGCGTGACGTAAATCTTTCAACTCTTTGTACGCTAGGTATCTCCGAAGCTATACGGCGATACGGATACTCACTTTTTCACTTATTGGACAGTAAGTTTTAGTTACGTGTACATTTTATTTTATTTTCCATTGAATTATTATGATGCTTGTGATGGTTATACGATGTCATATGCCAGGCTGATGAAAATCGAAAGACAGGCTGCTTCAACTTGTTATGCGAAGGTTTTGTGACGTATAATGCTTCTAGATATCCAGGAATTAGGATTTGGCCTCTTTCCAAATACAACGGAAAACAATACGCTGTTCCAGTTGCGATACATCAGGTGAGATACGATTATATTTTTTGATCTATTTGTTTTCTTGGGTCGATAATACTATCTCGGAGGACCACAGCTAAGATAGGCTAACATTTGTGCGTTTTCACCTTTGTTTGCACGGAAGTAGCAAAGAAGTAATTGAGCTAGAGGAAGTTTCTCCTACTTCAAGTAAAAAATTATGTTTGTTTCTCCGAAAAGACTACTTCGGCTACTTCCATAAATGCAGATGTGACGTCTAGATGACACTCCTACTTCCTAAAAAAAAATTTCTACCCTTGAAAGCTCAAAAGTAGAAGGTAAGTTGATAAAAAGTGGGGTCCACATAAATTAGAAATTTACCAAGGACGGATGATCTTAAATAATATATCCAATTTCTATCCAAACAAACAAACAAATAAAAAAAGATGATGGAGTACTATTCCCGCTACTTCTAAAAATATGTGAAACAAACAAAATAAGTACTACTACTTCCTACTTCATAACCGAGAAAGTTACATCTTTAATCCACTTCTTACTTCTAATAGCTGCGTCCATCCAAAATGACCCTTAGCTGGACTATAAAATTTACTAGTTTTGTGATGGACGATTACTATTCTTTTTTCTTTTTTTTTCTTCCCCTCCCCCCTTATTTTATTTTAATACACTTTATGATATTGGTAGGATGAGAGGAGTGGAGACTGGTTACTGTATGTTCAAGGGATAATACTCGGACACTGGCCGAAAACTTTGTTCACGAGTCTATCCAACGGCGCCGATGAAATCAACTGGGGTGGAAATGTCAACTTCGACAAGAACAAGAAAAGTCCTCCCATGGGCCAGCGGCCACTCCCCGACGAAGGCTTCGGAAAGCGGCGGCATTCGCGCGTTGTGCAGTTCGTGGACCAGCACGGACAGCCGTACGATCCGAATCCGGATGAAGTCGGGCCTATCGTTGACAGGGACGACTGCTACGCGGTGGGGGATTTCTCTCGTTCGGAGACGACGGGGTTTACGTTTTATTTTGGCGGCCCGGGTGGTTGCTCCGGCTGAGAAGTCGAGGAAATTGTAATTTTTAGTAACATTTGAAATGAATAATTATGTTGGGGAGTCACCCAGATTAATGAGAATTGGGAGGGTCTAATTTGGGAAATATGAAATGCAACGGTTCGAATCTGTAAATCCGTGAGGCTTTATAAGTGCGATTAGTAGCAGTGTGTAACGGTCGGTTCGGTTCGATTTTTACCAAATTTGAACAACCGAATCGAAACACCTATAATTTAAAACCGAACCGAACCGTTGCAAGTCGGTTCGGTGCGGTTCGGTGCGGTTTGTTCGGTTCTAACTTCATCAAATTTCTTATCAAACAACAAATTATGTTAAAGAAAAAAAATATCAACAAAGTAGGAGATTATGAAGCATTAAACACTGATATAATGATATTGTTTTCAACCCATAATGATCCAGAAAATGAGTTTAGAGTTTGAGTATTTGACTCTTTGGGACGGGTCGAGTAGGGTTTGAGATCAGAATAGGTAGTATTACACTATATTCGGTCAGTTCGAGTCGGTTCGGGTTGAAAAGTTTTCAAATCGATCCAAATCGTCCTACTCCTAAAACCGATTTTTCGGATCGGTTCGGTCGATTTTTTCGGTTTGGACCGAACCATGCTCAGCCCAAGCCATTACAAGTAGGGCTTTTTGTCTTTAGGTCCAATAGCTTACCTCCCTTTATTTTTAAACCCAAGTAGTATTAGTTGTATCTCTAAGTCCAAATTTCTTTTTGTATTTGTCTTTAAACCCAAATCTAAAATACAATACTTTCAGCAGTGGGTCCCCCCATATATTTTTCTTAAATTCCGGTTATACCCTCCCACTTATAGAATTCATTTAAGTGGGTCCCCCTTAAATAAAATAAACGAAATGGAGAGAGAGGGGGGAAACTGGCGGTAAATCCCCCCCCTCCATTCTCTCTCCGTCCTCTCTCTGCCCCCCTCTTCTTCTCCCTTTCTCTCACTCCATTAATAGAACTCAACACTCTCTCCTATAACCCATCATTTAATCACTCTCTCCTACAACCCATCAATTAATTCTCACCAACTTTCTTAGCATTTGAAGGTAGAAATTTGCAATTTACTCAACTACCAAGTTGTTAGCATTAATTTCTCATTTTAACCATGACAATTATTTGATAAGTTAGTTAAATGAGTTCATAAAAAAATTTTAATTCGTTATTTTTAGTAAAATGTTAGATAACTGAGGTTTTGTAATTAACCACCCATTAATTTCACATTAGTTATTTCACATAATTATTTTGCACTTCTTATTTCACATTATTATTTCACATAATTAGTTATTTCACATAATGTTATTTCACATAATTATTTTTAGTAAAATGTTATTGTTATGAATTCATAACAATTAGTTAAATATTAGTTAAATTTGTTATAATTGATGAAATTTTTGTTAAATTTGATCTTAGTATAGAATGATAACATGTAAGTATAGCATGAATTACCAGACTTATAAGTATAGCATATTAATATAAGTAGAGCATGTTATACTGTAAGTATAGCACATTAATACTGTAAGTATAGCACATTATACTGTAAGTATAGCACATTAACCTGTAAGTATAACATGTTATATTGTAAGTATAGCACGTTATCATGTAAGTATAGCATGTTATATTGTAAGTATAACACGTTATCATGAAAGTATAACACGTTATCATGTAAGTATAGCACATTAACCTGTAAGTATAACATGTTATATTGTAAGTATAGCACGTTATCATGTAAGTATAGATGTAACGTGCTATACTTACAATGTAACGTGCTATACTTACAGGTTAACGTGCTATACTTACGACATAACGTGCTATACTTACGACGTAACGTGCTATACTTACGATGACATAACGTGCTATACTTACGATGTAACGTGCTATACTTACAGGTTAACGTGCTATACTTACAGGTTAACGTGCTATACTTACGACATAACGTGCTATACTTACAGGTTAACGTGCTATACTTACGACATAACATGCTATACTTACTGGTTAACGTGCTATACTTACAGGTTAACGTGCTATACTTACGACATAACGTGCTATACTTACAGGTTAACGTGCTATACTTACGACATAACGTGCTATACTTACAGGTTAACGTGCTATACTTACAGGTTAACGTGTTATACTTACTGGTTAACGTGCTATACTTACTGGTTAACGTGCTATACTTACTGGTTAACGTGCTATACTTACTGGTTAACGTGCTATACTTACTGGTTAACGTGCTATACTTACTGGTTAACGTGCTATACTTACTGGTTAACGTGCTATACTTACTGGTTAACGTGCTATACTTACTGGTTAACGTGCTATACTTACTGGTTAACGTGCTATACTTACTGGTTAACGTGCTATACTTACTGGTTAACGTGCTATACTTACTGGTTAACGTGCTATACTTACTGGTTAACGTGCTATACTTACTGGTTAACGTGCTATACTTACTGGTTAACGTGCTATACTTACTGGTTAACGTGCTATACTTACTGGTTAACATGCTATACTTACAGGTTAACGTGTTATACTTACGATGTAACGTGCTATACTTACAGGTTAACGTGCTATACTTACGATGTAACGTGCTATACTTACAGGTTAACATGTTATACTTACAGGTTAACGTACTATACTTACAGATTAACGTGCTATACTTACTGGTTAACGTGCTATACTTATAGGTTAACGTGCTATACTTACTGGTTAACGTGCTATACTTACAGGTTAACGTGCTATACTTACTGGTTAACGTGCTATACTTACTGGTTAACGTGCTATACTTACATGTTAACGTGCTATACTTACTGGTTAACGTGCTATACTTACAGGACTTGGCATTTCTATCAATATATTCAACATTCCCAGCACATACAACATACAACATTGCATTGCCACAGAACATACATACAACATACCATATTTCCAGCGCATACAACATTTCCAGACTATCTACATACACCATACAACATTAACCTGTCACAGAACTTGGCATTTCTATCAATATATTCAACATTTCCAGCACATACAACATACAATATTGCATTGCCACAGAACATACATACAACATACCATATTTTCAGCACATACAACATTTCTAGACAATCTACATACACCATACAACATTGCATTGCCACAGAACTTGGCATTTCTATCAATATACATTTATACAAATACGTCACAAATCAATTTCCAAAATATATTTGTACACAAAAAATATTGGATATCACAATTGGCAATGTAGCATCCTGACAAGAACAATACAACACACTGAGTATAAGTGGATCAAAAGAACAAATATGGCATGTAGCATTCTTGAGGGTCATGATGGTTGATTTCCTGAAAGCAACATGTAAGTGGATCAAAAGAACAATACAATGAATATAGCGTTTCAATGAACATTAAACGTATAAAAAATGTACCTTCAGATAGAATTAGAGCAACAATGCGAGCTCTATGTCTTGCACAATCCTTCTGGTGAATTGAAACTGGTTGACCGGAAACGAGGCTAAACATGTACGCCATCAAGAACACCCCGCAATCCATACTACTGCAAGTTTAAATGTTTGCAACATCAATATAACACTCTTGGCCCGCAATATATACTCTCTATGTGAGTGTTAGCACATTAAAAAACAACATATGAATAAGTCGAATACACTAACCCACGTTGTTGCGGTACATCAACACTTTCTACCTCCTGACAAGAATTAATGTCTAAGTTCCAAGCATCGGGAATGGTAGAAATAAGCTTCACTCTAAACTCAATAGCATCGGACATATACCCGCGGAAAAAAAAAAAATCGACGAAAACACAGCCAACGCTCTTGCAAATCAATACCTGAAACGATGAGTTCGACGGCAATGATGACGACAATGTCGACTGCGAAATCCGTCGGCGGCAAGGGGACAGCGAGTATAGACGGCGCGATCGACGGCAACGGTCTGGGACTTGGGTCGCGGCTGCGGGCGACGGTCTGGGACGGTCGATAACGCCTACGGGCGACGGCCTGGGTCAGGCGACAGCTGCTGCGGGCTGGAGCGGGCGAGATCGGGGTCGCGGCGAGAGCTAATGTCACGGCGGCCTCGAGCGGCTGGAGCGGGCGACAGCGAGATCTGGATCACGGCGGGTGGAGCGGGCGACGACGGCGAGATCTCGGTCACGGCGGCTGGAGCGGGCGACGATAGCTGGAGTTCTCTTTTTCAATTTAGGGCTGAGGTGAAATAAGGATTTTGAGGAGAGAGACGTTGATATGGGGAAATGGGGTATTTTGGGGTTTTTGCCTTGATTATGTATAAATACTACTGCTGAAAGTATTGTATTTTGGATTTGGGTTTAAAGACAAATACAAAAAGAAATTTGGGCTTAGAGATACAACTAATACTACTTGGGTTTAAAAATAAAGGGAGGTAAACTATTGGACCTAAAGACAAAAAGCCCTTACAAGTAATATGCCGACGCGTAATTTAAAAGAAGACACGTAGTTATACGCGTACGCGTATACTGAACGCAAACGAGTAAATTATACGCGTACACGTACGTGTACATCATGAGTAGACGCAACGAAGGGGATCGATCTCGCTCCCTCTCTCTCTCCAGTTCAAATCGGCGAAGGAGCCCGAACCCTAGCGTTAGTAAGAGGAGCATCAGTAATTTCTGATCTCTTACTACCTGTTCTATAGATAATGTTCGCTTGATTTACCTCTTTTTTTTTTTTTTGCAAATTGCAATTGAGTTCTAAAATCTCGAGATTAACTGCTATTTTATGTGATGGTAGTATATAAATGAGGAAAATTTCAGTTTCACCTCCAAGCCATTCCAGCGAGCATGTTTCGGGTGTTTTTATTCAACGTAAATGGGAGATATTTGTAGCATAGCTTTTAAATTTTCGTACGACATAACGTTAATAAGCATATTCGCGAACAATTCACAACTTTCAGCTGAAATTGTTCTTAAGGGAGCCCTTTCTTTTCATAAGAAATTGCTGCGCTCTTTCTGTTCGACGAAATGCTTGAGTGAAAACTTGTAAGACTTCTGTGAGTTTATGATAAATATGAATAAAAATCCAATACCGATTGTTTTATCTTCTTTTTTTTATGAAGGAATTACTACTTATGGAAGAAATTTTGATAATTTCAACCGAGAACTCCTCGATTTCTTAGGACAGGCTGGTAAACCTAATACTTCGATCAAAGTTAGTTTTCATCCACTTCTATATTTTTATGATATATAGTGTTTATCATTGTGTGATAACTGCTAAATGTTAGTGCAATTGTTATCACTCTGATTTCGATTGATTGTAATGTTGAAAAGCTTATTGTTCTGAAGTTATTTACCCTGACCGAAGTTCCCATTTGGTTCATTCTTCATCCATGAGATTTCTTGGTAAGTTTTTAATTGATGAAGACTTTAGATGAGAGAGTAAGATGCCCCTTTCTGCAATTTAAATTCAGTGATATGCCTGAATCCTCGTAGATAAGGACACATAGCCCTCTGTGAAGGAGTACATAGATAGTACATTAGAACATATGCAACGAGACGTATAGCTCCATGTTTGAATTTCTTGTGAAAAAAATCTAAAGCTCAAATGACCATATATACACGTTACTTGGTTATCCCAATAATACAAGACAAAATTTGAGTTGAAAAAAAAACCCATATACTGGGATTTGTTAAGTGAAGATCGAAGGTAAAGTGAGAAAATGGAGAGGGACAAAAAAAAAAAACACTCGGTATATTTGATGATGCGTGGCCTTGTTTAGGGCATCGCTGGCATTTCGTCTGTTTTATGTTAGCTTTTTATTTATGCTTCTGTGCCTATATATAAATCTTTGAGAAGGTTAAGCTCTTGTGGAAAGGAATAACTTGAAACCTTAGAGATGCACTGACTTTCTTTCCAAGACGTAGCGTCCTAAAACAGTATATGAGTACTAATATTGCTCTATAGGAAGTAGGGACATTGCATAAACTAACCTTCTTCTTGCAATTAGACGTGAAGCATCCCAGTTACAACTCATTCATTCTGATATCTGTGGACCTACAACCATTAAAGCTCATAATGATGCTTCTTATCACTCCAATAACATATTATGGCTATAAGTTTGCGAAGATAGTAATTTGTATTCTTTTTAGTTTCTTTCTGGATCATACTTGTGCATAAGATTGACCTTTTCTTCAGACCATTTTATGTTGCTTTATGCAATTGTTTTATCATTTTTTTTTTGACAGTTCAGCGAACACAAAATGTGCATTAGTGGGTGCATCCCGGGCTAGCTGGTGGCCAACATGCAGGACAATTTCCACTCTGAAGAGAGATTTGGTATTGTCTTTAAGACATGTTTGCATGTGATGATATCTCTGTCTTGGAGAAAATTGGTATCTGGAATATCATCATTAGGAGGTAAGCCGTGATTGGCACTCATTCCGGAAGCATAAAAAGTTAATGTTCGTTGTGAGTGTGTTCTGATCTGAGAGTTTAACCACATGGTAACAAAAAGCTTATGAGAAGAGAACCAACCGAAACCATAAGGCACCGTGTTAATAAATTTAAAAACTGTAACTCTGATTAAGTTTATGTGTTCTAGGCATCTAATGAAGACTTGGAATGACAAATAAGCTATATGTGAAGTGATCTTAGACAAATTTTTAGTGACATTGTAGTAAAGACTGCTTTTGTACGTATTTGTTGTTCTTGAAAATGATGCTTAATACCACTTCAATGAATGTATTTATGATAGTATCTATTTTATGATTAACATTACTGATGTTGCACTTTACTTTTTGTCTCTTCTACACCATTATTAAGCTCTTCTTGACATTTGATATCTTATGAGATGAGTAATGTATCGTGATCATCAAAAGCATGTTCATCTTCTATGATTTAGACTCAAGAGAGTGGAGCATGTTTGGTATATATAAATCTGATCATTTCCCTGAAATCGACGTGGCTCATATTTTTGATCTTTCCTTGTGCCAAGTTGCACAGTGATATTAGAATCCAGAATAATTGCTATAGACATGCCACAGCTTCTATCCCGAACCTGGAGAGGTAAAATGTCACCATCAGGTTTGCAAACAAGAAAAGCAAGGGTGTAGAAACTAACTTCAATGAAACACCTATGCTGAAAAAGTTTCCTATTCAGTATCCTCTTCCTCGAAAACACATATCTTAGTAAATTGTTTGTCTACACTTCACGAATAGGAAGGATTTTGTTCCGCAAACTGAAAGTTATCTAGATCCATGTTAGTACTAGTGCTAGTGACGACATGCTACATAACAAATTGTAGTGTTCATCTTGCAATGTGTGTATAAAGTTTGCAACCACTGAAGAGGAACTTTACTTCAAATGCACCTAGTTTGAGATAACTATTACCTAAATTGTTGTTCTATGACTGAAAGAGGTAAATTCCTTCTTCTGTGTAGAACACTTTCTGAATCAGGTAAAAAATTTTAGCATAGTTTTTCAGTTTTTTATTGTTGTACAATGCTTCTATCATACATACATCCTTATATGAATGTTTTTCTTATCTGCAC